GTGTTAGGGTAAGAGTTGTCCGTTTTGTTCACTGATAGATTCCCACCTTTTGGAAAGGGGCTGGGCACATAAACAGTTCTTGATAAATGTTGGCTGAATGAATGAATGAGATGGGACCAGTCGTCAGAGGCCAGACATTCCAATGTGCTTCTTCACAGTCGGGATGTCAGTGTGGGTGACAACAGGTAGGTTATCACGCCCACTCTAAATCTGTTTCCCAACTCCTGTTGTCACCCACGCTGTCTGTTACAAAACCTTGACAAACTATTTGCTTTGCAGCTTATAAAGTGGAGAATAGATGACTTTGTTGCATTGATTCTTTTTCCCCTCTCAGGTGAAGTGAGAGGAGAGGTAATGGGCTAGGGTAAGAGCCTGGTTGGTCTTGTGATCCCACAATAATTATTGTTCAGTCAGGAGCCTAGCAATTTTTAAAATTTTTGTAATTTTTAGAGCCACAGAGAACAACTGGGGCTGAAATGGTTTTCCAAGTGATGGAGAGAGCGAAATGTCAATTAGCAGTAATGGCATACCGTCTGTTACAGTGTGGGTGACAATAGGCAGTTGGGAGACCGAGATTCAGAGTGGGGCTATGACTTGCTCAAGGAGCACCATAGCTGGAACTGGATACCATGTCTTTGAACTGCAACCCAGCGTACTTTGTTCTGGCTACAATTTGACAGAGGGCAGAGATAACTTCATCAGTGTCTGCTATATGCCCCTCACAGCAATACCTAGGCCTCCTCATTCCCTCTGTACCTGCCTACCAGCCCAGTAACCTACTGCTTCCCGTTCTCCTGTCCCTACTTCTTCTCTTCACAGTCCTCCAATTCTTCTTGGTCTTCGGTTCTCAGCTTTATTATTACTGCCTCTGAGATGCTCTTCCTGATGATCCAGACTACACCTGACCTTGATTGTTGTTCCCAAAGCCCTCCACATATCCTGATCCTTACACCCAGGAAACACTGAAATCACCTAGCTCATTGCCTGTCTTCTTTGCTCAGATAGCCGCTGCGTAAGGACAGATTTTGTCTGTCTGGTTCATTGCTATTTCCCTAGGGCCTAGAATTGTGGAAAACATTCAAAAAATGTGTGAGGACTTGGGAAGGTGTGGTAGGGGGATTACTTGAGGCCAGGAGTTCGAGGCTGCAGTAAGCCATGATTGTGCCACTGTACTCCTGCCTGGGTGACAGAGAGACCCTGGCCCTGAAAAAAAAAATGTGATGAATGAATGGTGAAGTTATTTTGCTTCTTTGTGCCTTAGTTTCTTTAATAAATGAGGGCTGATAGTGTCTACTTTGTAGGGTCCTTGAGAAGACTATAGCTGGCATGTAATAAGTGTTCAGTTATTAGCTTTGCATCAATCCTGGGAGTATTACTGTCCCTATCTTACAGTGGAGAATCTGAGTCTTTTAAAGATTAAATGACTTGTCCAAGGCCGTGTACTGTACTTGGTAAACATTAGGACTTGAACTCAGGTCCATCTGATGCCAAAACTTGAGCTCCTCCTGCATGCACCACTGCCTCACCCTGTCAAGCAAGAGGAGCTTATTTGCTCCTTTGGCTTTAATACTGCACTGGAAATTGTCTGGTAAATTTGGAGTTCAATACCCATCATAAAGAAACTTAGAGACAGTTTATTTAAAAGTACAATTTAAAGATGTGGTAAGCTTGGTTGTTTCTTTTACCCCTATCCCATCCCAAAAACTGCTTGGCCTGTCCTGCCCATGGACCTGGTCTCCACCTAGCTGACAGCAATAACTTGGCCGTGACTTCTCCTGGTACCCTTGTCCTGCCCTGGGAATTCCTGGAGGTAGAGTGGGCCTCCAGTGTTTGTCCTCCTTAAAACCTTTCAGGCAGGGCATGGCAGGAGGAAGTCAACCTATATTATCGCCTATATTCCATTGAAATGGTGAAGTATATCGACTAATTTTTTTCATTTCAGATTTTTCTATTGTGACAAAATGTATATACCATAAAGTTTACCATTTTAATCATTTTAAAGTATATAAATCAGTGGCACTAAGTACCTTCACAATGCTGTGCAACCATTACCACCATCCATTTCCAGAATTTTTTCATTATCCCAAATAGAAACTCTACCCATCAAATAATAACTCCTCATACCCTCTTTCCTCCCAGCCCCTAACAACTGCTATTCTACTTTCTGTCTCTATGAATTTGGCTATTCTAGGTACCTCATATAAGTGGAATGATATAATATCTGTACTTTTTGTTTGACTTATTCTACTTAGCATGTTTTCAAGGCTCATCCATGTTGTAGCATGTATCAGAATTTCATTTCTTCTTAGGGCTAGATAGTATTCTATTGTATATCTATCCTACATTTTATCTGTTTATCTGTCAGTGGACACAGGTTGTTCCTACCTCTTGGCTATTGTGAATATTGCTGTTATGAATATTGGTGTATAAGTATCTGTTTGAGTTCTTGCTTTTAATTATCTTGGGTATCATGGAGTGGAATTGCTGGATTATATTGTAATTCTATGTTTAACTTTTTGAGAGGCCAGCAACCTCTTTTCTACAGTGACCATACCATTTTGCATTCCCAATGTCTCTATGTTCTTAATAATACTTGCTCTTTTTCTTCTTTTGATAGTAGCCATCTTATTGGGTATGAAGTGGTATCTTATTGTGGTTTTGATTTGCATTTCCTTAATGGCTAATGACATTGAGCATCTTTTCATGGGCTTATTGGCCATATGTATGTCTTCTCTGGAGATGTCTATTCAGATGGTAGTCTCCTAGTCCCCTGGGTACAGGATTGGAACAGAGGGAGTTCTGTTGTCTGTCTTTGCCCTGCCAGGGGAAGCTGGGCATGCACAGCCACTGGCCATGAGGCTGGGATTTGGGTTGGTATCTTCAGGGATGGAGGGGGAAAGGGCTATAGGTGCCCTGTGGTCTTCAGGATGAGCTAAGTCATGATTCACAGGGAGGAGATGAGGCTGTGATGCCAGTGAGTCCTTGCACTGGCCAAGTCTCCAGGGTTGGAGAATGGGGAGTAGGGAGGTGGGTGGCAGATACTGAGTTCAGAAAGGAAGCAAGTTAATGATAAGAAAGACTAGTTATGGGTTGCTACAGCAGGTAACTGGTATAGGGGTGAGTAGTCTACACCACTGGAAGAGAGTGAAGTATCTACTCTGCCATCCTGCAACCCAGCCAAGGCCCAGGCTTCATACCCCTGCAGCTTCTGCCTTTGAGTTTCCTGGAACCTGGGCCAATCAAGTAGCTCGGTTCTCCTAACTTCACTCCATCACGTCCACACTGGGTGCTGATGTCCAGCAGTGGTGGGTTTGTGTGTGTGAGGTGCTCCAGAGTAGGAGCTGGTATTTGATGTCCCACTTTTACTTGATAACAAGTTGGTGTTTGTTCCTGAGCCCAAGCTCTGAGCTTTGCTTCTTCACAGCTCAGCAGAGAGAGCACTGGATTAGGAGTCAAGACACGGGTGACCTTGTCTTGGGTCTGCCTCTCAGCAAGTAAGAAGGAAGTTTAAAGTGTAAGGAGAGGCTCCAACGCCTTAGCAAAAAGAGGTTCTCTCTCTTTTGTCTTGGGGCAGGAGGAACAGGGGACTTGCTTCCCGAGTCTATCCCTGCTGAGTATTATGATGGCCACTGTACACACTGAGTATGCCCTTGCAATTTAGTCTTCTTTAAGTATCAAAAGTCACCTTTTATTCAGGAATTTGTAAATACATCAAAAAGATTAGCAAAGAAGTGAGCTTATTGTATTTCACTTACTCAACAGTTAACCTAGTTGTGGTTGTATTTAACATCAGCCGTAAACAACGTGAGGCACCATTTCAGAATAGGTGGTGTGCTGACTGCCAACCCTGTCTTCTTGGTGTAGCGCTGACCTTGAGACAGAAGCAACTTACTCACCATTCAGTTCCCTGTCATCTGCTTTGTCCTGATTCTGCATATTCTGCTGAAACATGTCTGCTTCCCATGTTGGCCTGCAACCTGTACAGCTCCATACTGGTTGTTTCCTTCTTCAGAGTGAACACTTCGCACTCCCCAAACTCTCAGGCATTCCCACTTTAGGGGATCACAATTTAGCCTTCAAGTTAATGGAGTTTTCATTTCCGTGTTTCTAGCTATTTCTGGTCCTATGTTCTACTGTGCAGATTAATGTAATGGGGAAAGACTGGAGGTATGCTATTCTCTCATGTGAAATGACAATGGCTAATATAAAACGCAATGTCAGCTCAGTTCTCACTTGGGGTCCTAGAGCCAAGCCCAATAGACCAGGCACCAGGATCGACAGTGGTCAGTTACTGACCTTACTTCATCTTACTGTTTTGCCAAAGTGTAATTCTGGTAATTTTTTTTTTTTTTTTTTTTGAGACAGAGTCTTACTCTGTCACCAGGCACCAGGCTGGAGTGCAGTGGCGCAGTCTCGGCTCACTGCAATCTCCGCCTCCTGGGTTCAAGCAATTTTCCTGCCTCAGCCTCCCAAGTAGCTGGGACTACAGGCCTGCATCACCACGCCCAGCTAATTTTTGTATTTTTTAGTAGAGATGGGGTTTCGCTATGTTGGTCAGGATATTCTCGATCTTTGACCTTGTGATCTGCCTGCCTCGGCCTCCCAAAGTGCTGGGATTATAGGCGTGAGCCACCATGCCGGCCAATTCTGGTAAATTTCTATTCCTTCAGGGCCTCAGTGGATGTGATGGTTAATATTATGAGTCAACTTGACTGGGCCACATGGTGCCCAGATATTTGGCTAAACATTATTTCTGGGTGTGTCTGTGAGATGTTTCTGGATTAGGTTAACATTGATTTGGAAGATAGAGTAAAGCAGATTGCCCTCCCCAATGTGGGTGAGCGTCATGCAATCCATTGAAGGCCTAAAGAGAAAGAAAGGCTGAGTAAGAAAGAATTCTTTCTCTCTGGTTGACTGTCTTGGGAACTGGGACGTCAGTTTGCTGCCTTTGGACTTGGACTCAGACTGGAATTTACACCATTGGCTTTTCTGGTTCTCAGGCTTTGCACTCAAACTGGAACTACACCATTGCTCTTCTGGGTCTCTATCTTGCTGGCTACAGATCTTGCACCTCCCAGTCTCCACACTTGTGTGAGCTAATTCCTGATAGTAAATCTCTTTATTATATATCTACATAACTATATCTATCTACCTACTCTATTGGCATTGCTTCCCTGGAGCACCCAGACTAATACAGTAGGGCAAAGTCAACTGGGCAGGGCTGGGCAGGCAGATACTCCAATTTGTGTCTCTCCTCCTTTAGACATACAGACCAAAGGTGGGTATTGATCAGAGGGTTCTCTGATATTCATCTAGCTTGGTCATTTTATTTTTTATAGTATTTTATTTTATTCTTATGTCATTTCATTTTATGGGCTTGGTTGTTTTTGCAACCAACCTCCTGCCTGGCTCTTTGCAGTTTTTCTGGATCACAGCTGTAGTCCTAGGGAGGTCCTCTCTCCAGGGGATACTGGCAGAAAAGGGAGCATATGTCAGGGGGCTGGGGAAGCTGGCAGAAATCTTCCTTGTCTGTTTAATGTTTTATTAGAGTCTGTGTAGCAATGTATGTAAACAAGTCCCATGGTGGAAGAATTCAGAATAAATTACTGCCTGCAATTTCCTGTTTGGCATTGATCTTGTAGATTGGAGACTCAAGATGGAAACCGCCTGGTATTATTGTGCCAACTTCCATGTTGAAGGGCCCACAAATTCCTCATGAATCCTATGATGTCAGAACCACATGAAGCCTTAGATACCAGGCAGTCTAATCCCACATAATACTGATCGGGCTCAGAGACCCAAAAAGGCCTGAGGTCACATGGTGAAAAGAGGCATAATCTTGGCTGTGATATTAGTTCAGCTTTAGCACTCCAAGGGACAGATTTTAATAGGTATGAAAGATTGTTTTAAAGCAGCCAAAGTCTGTTATTACTTATTGAGGAGGGTCTCAGAGCAATTGGCCTGCATTTTCCCTTCATGTTGTTTCTTAATGTGTGTTTATGGCCCAGCCTTGGCAGTTTTTTTTTTGAGACTGAGTCTCACCCTGTTTCCCAAGCTGGAGTGCAATGGTACGACGTCAGCTCACTGAAGCTTCCACCTCCCAGGTTCAAGCAATTCTTCTGCCTCAGCCTCTTGAGTAGCTGGGATTAAGGTGCATGTCACCATGCCGAGTTATTATTATTATTATTTTTTGTATCTTTAGTAGAGACAGGATTTCACCATGTTGACCAGGCTGGTCTTGAACTCCTGACCTCATGATCTGCCCACCTTGGCTTCCCAAAGTGCTGGGATTACAGGCCTGTGCCACTGCGCCCAGCCAGCCTTGGCATTTTGAATTCAGATTCTTTTGGCAGCCAAAGGCAATTCTGTGCTGCTGAGAGCTGTTATGGAAGCAGAAACTGCTCAGGGCTCAGACGAGCCAATTACCCAGTGGGACCCTCAGTTTTATCCTCTGTTTTATAGGCAAGATAATCTCTGACCTGCCTCTTTCCCACAGTGACAGAGCTAATGCAAAAGAGCTCTGTAAATGGAAAGATCTGTTTTGCAATAACAAAGCCAGGACCTGATGGAATTTAATGCTGAAAGGAGGACCTTCTCTCTAAGGTGCCAACTCACCTCTTGAAACTGTCTCCCAAAATCTCACCACCCCCAAGCACATCACTTCTGCCAACACTCCAGCAGGGAGAGAAACTGTCCTTTAACAGGCTGGTTGGGTGAATCTCATGCGGCGCTAAACTGTGTGTTCTCCAGTGTCTATACATTTTCTTTTCACTCTATTGCAAGTTCTTTACATGTCCTGTAGAGTTGTTTTAGTTATTTACTGCTGTGTAATAAATCATCCCAAAACTTAATGGCTTTAGTAACAATAATCATTTCTTCCCTCTCATAGTTTGAAGCATTCCGTAGTTTGGAAATTCTGGAGCAGTATAGCTGGGTGGTTCTGGCTCAGGGTCATTATGAGCTTGCCTCCAATGTCAGCCAGGGCTGTAGTCATCTGAAGGCTTGACTGGGGATGGAGGATCTACTCTCAAGGTGGATCACTCACTGGCAGACAAGTTAGTGCTGGCCAGTGGAGGGGGCCTCAGTTACTCTCTATAGGGCACCATGGATGTCTCACATCATGGCAGTTGACTTCCTTTGGAGCAAGAGGTCTGAGTGTCCAAGGCAGAAGCTGCAAGGCCTTTTATGACCCAGCCTCATTTCTTCTGTATTGTATTGGTTACTCAGAGCTAGCTATGATTTAGTGTGGCAGGGAATTACGTTAGGGCAAGGATACCAGGATGCAAGCATCACAGGAGTCTGGCTACTTCTGTCTACCTTTGACTCCTGATGATTCGTAGCTTTTCCATTGAACATACACTTGTCCCTTCCCAAGGCCCACAAAAGTCTCATCATATTATAGCATCAGTTTGAACTCCCAGGTCTTGTCATCTAATTGGGTCCAGGTTCAGATGAGGCTCCTTGGGTAAATATCTCAAATATAGCACCTCCTCACAGTTCCTCTTGATCTATAGACCCACGAAAAAAGAAACATATTCTCTTCCCTCTAACTAATATACAATAATAGGGCAGGCATAGGATAAGCATTATAGATCATCCTGTAAAAAAGAAGAAAAAAGATAAATGAGAGGTACACAGGGGGCCTTGGCAATTCTGAAATTCTGCTGGGAATGCAGGCAGTTTCTTGGTTAGAACTCAGACCTGCTGCCTGAGAATGGTTCTCTATGGCTCTTGGCTCCAATTTCTGGGCTCAGAAGCAGAAGCTGAGTCATCTTTTCTTTTTCCATAAAAAACAGCCAGTGTTTGCAACTAAGTAGTTTTCTCAGCCTGCTTTCTTATAGTGGTTTAAAGGTCCAAAGGTTCATTTTCTTTCTTCTTTTTTTTTGAGATGAAGTTTTGCTCTTGTTGTCCAGGCTGGAGTGCAATGATGCAATCTTGGCTCGCCGCAACCTCCGCCTCCTGCAAAGACTCATTTTCATTGTATATGATCAGTGTCCCTTTTAATCTATGCAGGCAATATTTCACACAATGTAATAACCTTATAATCTATAAATAAGACTCTGTGAATCCTATTGGCATTTGCTCCATTAGTTAAAGTTCACAACTACAAGTATCAATGAGATAAGCTACTTTGCATCTTGAGTTTTCTGTAAGGCTGCTATGGGACACTGCAATTAAGATTACCAGAAGCCCTATTGTTTATGGGTGAGGGACCTCTTTGAAGCACCACCTTACATATTTTTGAGGTCTTAATAAAGGGCTTTGCATTCACTCTGTCAGTTTTGTCTTTAGATTATTTTTCCTGTGAGGACACTGAATTTGATCTTTGCCTGGAGGACATTTTAAAATTTCAGTATCATTTCCTGTCTGGAGAATTTAGCAGTAAGACATTTTTATTTTCAAACCCAGCAAGTCCTGGCCCCTTTATGTTCAATGCTTCTTTCTTTAACACATCTTCTCACTTTTCACATTTTATTATAAGCAACCAGAAGCCAGGTGGCACCTTCAACACTCTACCTGGAAATCTCCTTTGCTAGATCATCCAATTCATTAGGTACATTTTCTAGTTTCCATTTTACGGTAGAAGAGAGTATTGCTGAATTTCCCCTCACTGTATACTGTGGATTGAATGTTTATGTCTTCTCACATATTCATGTGGTAAAGCCCTAACCCCTAATGTGACTGTATTTAGAGACAGGGTCAGCGAGGAGGTGATAAAGTTTAAATGAGGTCATAAGTGTGGGATGCTAATTCTATCAGGCCAGGGCCCTTAAAGAAGAGGAAGAGGGCTGGGTGGTGCCATGGTTCACACCTATAATCCCAGCACTTTAGAAGGCCGAGGTGGGCAGATCACTTGAGCTCAGGAGTTCAAGATCAGCTTGGACAACATGGTAAAACCCTGTCTCTACAAATACAAAAGATTAGCTGGGTATGGTGGTATGTGCCTGTAGTCCCAGCTACTTGGGAGCTACTTGGGTGCATCACTTGAGGTGGGAGAATCATTTGAGCTTGGGAGGCAGTGGTTGCAGTGAGCCAAGATTGTGCTACTGTACTCTGGCCTGGGCAACAGAGCAAGATTCTGTCTGAAAAAAACAGAGAGAGAGAGAAAGAAAGAGACATAAGAGCTCTTGCTCTTCCAGGTGAAGACACTATAGTAAGATAGCCATCATCTGCAACCCAGAAAGAGAGCCCTCACCAGGAATCAAATCAGCCAGCATCTTGATCCTGGACTTCTCAGCCTCCAGAACTGTGAAAAATAAATTTTGTTGTTTAATTTACCCAGTTGATGATATTTTGTTATGGCAGTTCAAGCAGACTGATAGACTATATTATAAGGATTCTCTTTCCTCCATTTTCTAATATCATCTTGCTTACTTTCCATTAAGTACTCATGGATCGCCTTCTTGCAGTACTGGTTATAATCCCAAAAGACACAATTCCAAGTGTCATGTATCTGAATGTCGAAATACTAAAAGATAAAATACCATAAAGATCAAAATCCCCAAAGTCTGAAATTCTATAAATCATAATCATGAAAGATTAAAACCTGGAATGTTGAAATACTGAAAGTGAAATTCTGGGGAAGGAATTATCATGTTTTTGGTTGTACACACGATAGCTGCATCATGTTAAGCAGAACTATTACCTTGTTATTGTCTGTCTTTAAGGAGGCTTAAGGAGGTATGTGTGAGTGCCAAGTTGTCAAGGGGCGGACTTGTGGACTTGATTTGAGTTATCAACTTGATTGGAATAAGGAATGCCTACAAACTTGATAAGCATTATTTTGGGTGTGTCTGTGAGGGTGTTTCCAGAGGAGGTTAGTGTGTGAGTCTGAGTGGACCAGGTGGGGAATATTGCCCTCAATATTGGTGAGCACCATTTAATCATCAGAGGGCTCAGAAAGAACAAATACAGAAGGTGAATTGGTCTCTCTCTGAGAGCTGGGACAGGTTTTTCTTCTGCTACCTTGGACATCAGAACTTCAGGCTCACCAGGCTTTGGATTCCAGGACACACGAGGTTTTACCCAGGTCCCGGGGCTTTTGGCCTCAGACAGAGAGTAACACAATTGACTGTCCTGATTCTCAATGT